CGAAACCAGCAATACAGCAATTGAATATTATTGCTCAACAATGTTCGACAGTTGATGAACAATTACAGAGTGTATTTCATAGAATGAGACTTTGACTTTAATTGTTGTGTGAAATGAATGAGAAATTAGCAGAAGAGAATACTTTTGGTGATAGAAGGTATGAGAGCGATTGTAACGGCAAGGAAAAGAATGAAAACTCTGTTAAAACAGTAAAAAGTGAACCCTGTTACGTCCGGACGAGCTAATGATACTCAGAAAATAGGAGAATGAAGGGTGTTGCCATCAACTAACCGCATTCACATACCTGGGTTACAAAAAACACCATCACAATGGCATTCTATCATAACGTAACAACTGCACACCGAAATACTAATACCCAGACCCCTTCTATTACCCCTTGGCACCTCCAAATTACGCAAAATGGTTAATTTCACATCTATGAGAACCACTGCGCTAGTCTATTGGAACTTTGTGCCATATGAATTTGTGTATATGATAGTTGCGCAATAATCCACTGATATCAGCGGAATGCTAAGAACTCAGCGATATGTAATTGTGAAATTGGCATTGATCAGATGATTTTAGTGAGAGCCTGCTTACAAGATCGCCGTTGCTGGCCAGTTCCATAACGAGGAACACTTTCGTGCCTTCATCGAAAACATCCAGCAGACTGACGATGTTTTGATGACGCAATTTACTCCAGTTGTGAATCTCTCTCGGCAGAAACCTTCTGCGGAATTCTTGTGTCACCTTCTTTGTGTCAATTATTTTGATCGCAATCTGCAGATAAATTGACACTCGTCTCTATTTACGTGTATAATAGACATTTGACGTTCACTTTTCGAATATTGAATTGTCGGAAAATTTCTTTAAAGAAGTTCTCCGACCAGATTTTGTAATCAAGTATTGTTGACATTTTGTAATCCACAAGTAATCACTATTCAAACCAATGATATTCTGTTGATGCATCCAACCAATCGTATAAATTCCCATGCTAATTAATCACTTATCGATACGACGGTTACCTTCTGATCGGTTTGAATGTCTATCGCCTTGCACACTTTACTGAAGCGCCCATAACCAAGTTTTGGGCCATCAGTGGTTTTGTATCCATGACTGTAGAGAACATTCTTGGTATTCTGATAGTAGTGATGCACTTGTTGGTGTAGGTGCTCTGTTGTTTTGTGCATGTTTGGCTGAAGAGATGAAATTTGATTGGATCTCACCAAATCTCAAAAAATTCATTGCAATTACATGGTATCCCTACAAAACTTGTGAAGCTTCGTTAAAATTTCAATTACCTGATTCAGAGAGTATTGTTGACATGTGTTGGGCAGATGAGTGGTGGTCGCATTTGATGTTCGATCGTATAGAATTTGATTGTTGTTGCGGGTGATAAGTTTTGTGGGCGTTGTGAACGTGGACGATTCACAGCAACGATAGTCGTAGCAACGATTGCAGCGAGTTTTGCTTTTGACATACTGATGGTGAATCAATGCATCACGATTGGATGTTCTCGTGCTCATTTGTTCACACGTCTAAATCACCTCAATTAACTGACCTCGTCTGTGAGTTATCCGACTTGACTGCGGTTCATACAAACCAATTGCAAAGCAAAACCACGATCGACAATATAACTAATTTGAGATCAAAACGTCTTAGAACGTTTCATCGAAACCTTCTTGACAATTGAAGTTTTGCACTATCAAGTTTCAGGCAGGTGCTGCTGGCATCGAAGAAAATCAAGCAAAAATGAGTGACCTTCAACTTCAATTGCCGACCACCTCAACGTAACTTTGCAACAACAATAAATCTTTTGCACTTCAAAAGTCTATTATCAATTCGAAAATCCAGCATCTGTTTTGTCGTCAATATATGTAAAAACATTTTAGTTTTTCACAGTCAGATTTATTTACCTTTACCATGCGCAAGCAAATTCAAATGCACATATTGGAACAATGCAAGATTTTGAATACACATAACAATCTATGTAAATTCAGAATTCTTACGTGTATCCAGTGACAGAAAACTTCTTGAGAAAAACCACTGCAGCATTTGCATAAAACACTAATTCTCTTGTGCACCATTCCAAAATGTTCGTTTCTTTGAGAGTGCACAATTTTTCTTTTTGTTCGTAAAAATGTGATTTGTTGGAAATTTGTGACTTTTGCTACAACTTCATATACTGAGCAACACAGCGATTTCCTTGAGAAAACTCAACGCGACTTGGTGAACTCAATGTCTATCAACTAACCCAACAGTTTATGAAGCATTCGACTGCTGCATTAATTGCTTGTAAATTCGATTAACACTATTTGTATTCACTTCATCACACACCAAAAAACGCTGTTCTCATACGAAATGCTCGAATCCAAAAGGAACGTAATGGCAAAAGCTCTCTTTATCATGGAGTATCATCACATCACCAAATTCAGTACAACGACCAGAACAGCACGAAACAAACCGTAATCAATATGAAACAATACTACTTAGCAATAGTAAACTAGTTCGATTTAATGAAAGCCGACGAGACATTAGTTTAGTGTAATTACACAACAAACGATTCACACAAAAGAATTATACCAATGACAACAATAACACCGGAAAACGACAAACAATGACACCGGAAAATAGCAATAATAACAAGAAAAATCAGCTCATGCCATAGACCAGAAGATGGTGATATGTGAATGCAGTATCGACTGGCTTATCTACAGTACTGGCTTATCTACAACCAAAAACATACATATGAATACTGTTTTCCAATCGGAAGTTAGTGGCTCGATCATTTTACAAGAACTGATCATTCTCTTGAACAGTTGAAAATCACTTCTGCCAACGGACGACACACTATTTGAAATCTTAACAATTGATTCATGAACAAGCAATTCATGAACAATTCGATTGCGGTCATTCAGCATCGATCAAGACCGCTGTGAATGAGAGATGGTATTGGAGATCCGGTTATCTTCCATTGATCACCCAATTCAATTATTTCGTTCATTGCCAAGTAAGAAGTTTTATGGATGTAGGCTCGAAACTGATCACGATCACGTGGTTTTTTACCGGCCAACTGTCGTGTTAACGTTTCCAGTGATCCTGCATGACCCACCAACAGGATAGTTCCTAAAAGCAAACTATTAATATCGGTTCAACATCCACCCTCGTGTTCGTTCATATCATGTCAACACTGTATGTGATCTTTTTACGAAGTTATGCTAAACTTCTTGCATTTGTGGACAATTCGAACCATCAAACCTAACTTTTACTATTGGGTAGCAATTGCACCCCGATCTCACGTTTAATTTTAAAACGTTTATCAGAATTCAAGTTCATCCTTTCTTGAAGCACTTCCGAACCAAACAAAATCCAACAACAGTCCACTTGTTGTTGATGTTTGAT